GGATACTAAAAGAATCAATCTCATAAGGGTCTCATGAAGATTAGCCAAGGTGGTAAACCGTAAAGCAGAGGTGATACACTTTGCCCAGCACCTGAGTTAGTATCATTGTTGCTGATACCAAAAAAGTGGGGGGTGGGGGGCAGGTAGGCTCAGTTGCCCAGGTGAGCTCATAAGTTTCTGGCAGGGTTTCAGGTCACTTTGGCAAAAGTCCAACAGCCTCTCCTCTCACCTTTCATCACCTCGAATACCAAATTCTCAAGAGAGGCACTCCCAGCCGCCGCCCTCCATGAGTATCTTCTCTCAGAAGAATCTAGAGTCTCCTAAGTAAGAACTTGGCGATCTCCCCGGGTATATCTCCACCCTGATATTTGATCATCTTCAATCAGAGTAATTATTTTTTTAATGCTTATTTATTTGGGGGGAGGGTACAGAAGATCCAAAGCAAGCTCTGTGCTGACAGCAGCAACCCAATGCGGGGCTGGAACTCATGAACCGTGAGATGACCTGAGCTGAAGTCGGATGCTCAACCAACAGAGCCACCCAGGTGCCCCTCAACCAGATTAATTCTAACATCAATCTACTAGAGGAAAGACACGGGGCACCGTTCAGGCGTTTCCTCGCACAGCCACAGGGTTTCCACTGCCTCTGAATCCTGGCTCTAACGCATCCTATATCATGGCCCACCAGTGATGAGATGACTCACAGCGGTTTTTCTTTGGGTCTTTTTTTGACCCATTGCTAGTGAAACTAGTCAAATGCTTTCTCAAGGTGTAACACTGGGTCCCTTTGACAATCTGCTCTCAAATCTAAACCCCAAATAAACAACACCAATCACATCGAATATATTCATGTTGCCAAATGGAAAGGGGTTGGAACAGGTACACACACACGCACACACAGTTTGTTTTTTTCCTTCACTTTGAAGCCCATTTCTAGCTTAAGGCTCCATGACCTCCCATGCTTGGGCTTCAGAGAATCTGTGAATCCTTTGAAATCACGGGCAAACTTTTAATGTATGAAAATACCAGCATTTAGGTGCAGAGAAGCACATATTCCCCACTATTTTCCAGAGGAGCCCAACTTGAAGCCTTTAGGATGCTTCAGCAAAATCTGTCGTTACTCTCGTGGGTATGGCGGTTTCTAGTTGCCGCCCAGCAGTCACTTACCTTTTATCCACGGTAGTAAAACCCCTGTTTTAACGAGCTTCATAGCCACCCAGAATAAAGACTGCATTTCCCCATGTTCCTTGCAGCTGGTATAGCCACGTGACTAATTTGGGCCAATGAGATACAGGCAGAATTTCCTCACATTTCAATAAAAGAAATTGTTATATGCTTCTCCCCTTCTTCTTCACCCCTTTTTTCTTCCTGCTGGCTGGAATGTAGACGTGATGTCTGGAACTCAAGTGGCTCCCTGGTCCATGAGGTGGCTTTGGGAAGTGAGCCCATATAAACAGAGCAAGAAGACGGAAGATTCCCAGTCTCTGAGGGCTTTGCAGAACAGGGGTAGCATGTCAGTAACAAGACAGAATGTCTCTGAGCTTTATTAAGAAGAAATAAATTTCTCTTCTCTTTCGGCCATGGTTATTTTGAGCCTCTGTTTTTCACAGCTAAAATGAATCTTAATTCATACTCAGGGTGAGGCTAAGAGAGTGCTCAGAAGGAGGTATCTTGTTTATCCTTGTCCTTCTCTATATGTCCTCCTCATCTCCTCCAACCTTCCTCCCCTCCCAGCACAAACCGTGAGAACCCTTTCAGGCCAAACCCTCCTAGGAGCTGTCATTCCCAGACCTAAAAACAACACAAAACAAACTTTCCAAAGCAGTTGCCTGGTGTCATGTCACCAACTGGTCAAACCAGCCCCTGCTCTGACCTCAGAGATGGAAAAGGGGGCCTCAAGATCACAGGCTCTCTAGCTCTCCCTCCCTCGAAGGATCTCAGAGCCACCCCTCTGCATTTGTGCCTCCAATGGCACTCTACCTAAAGGTCTCAAACTGAGAGGAATAGGTACCACTTTCCCAGCAAAGGCTCTTGGCAGAGAAGCAGATAGACTGGTTTATTAGAATGATATTCACATTGAGGAAGTTCTTTTGAAGCAATACCAACAACCACGAAAACACAGAATTTGGAGGTCGATCCATCAGAATAGTCTGCATCATGATGGAGCAAACAAACAAATCCAAAATTTCAGTCTTAAGGGAACAAAGGTTCATCTGTCCGCCATGTCCATTGTGGACCAGCAGGGACACCCTACCCATCAGAGATGTTGGTGACCATAGTGCAGAAGGAAGAGAAATCAACCAAGGGTCCTCCCGTCATGGAGCGGAGGTCTCCCATGGGTTACTCACATGCTTGGAACTGACAGTGACAGGTATCACCTCTGCTCACCACTCATTGGCCACAACTAGTTACATGGCTCTTACCAACCACAATGGCATCAGGAAGTGTGTTGCTTCCTATCACGTGCCCTGAATTTTACTGAATCCCAACTACGTGCTGGGTACTGTTCTAGGTGCCCATGACACAGCCCTAAACAATCAGACCACAGTCCCTACCCTCAGCCCCCATGGAGCTTAGGTTCTAATGGAAGGGGCAGACAACAATCGAGGCCTAAAATATAACTCAGTTCGCAGCCGGCGCTAGGAAGAAAAACCAGCTGATGTAAGAGAACGTGACTTCAGATCAAATGGTTGGAGAAGGTTTCTCTGAGTAGGTGAAATTTAAGTAGAGACACAAATGAAGTGAGAGACCAGTCCTGAGGAAATCTGGGGGAACAGTGTCATAGGGAGTGGGAACGGCATGAGGGAAGTCCTCAGACAGGAATATGTGTGGCTCTTCTGTCCAAAGGACAGAAAGAAGGCCACCAAGACTCCAGCACAGTGAGCAAGGGGTGGATGACAGCAGGGAATCAGATCAGAAAGGTAACCAGAGCCTCAATTTGCTTCATGAAACTTTTGTAGCATCTAAAATTGTTTTAACTGTTGACTGATGATTTGCTTATCAATAGGCGTGAGAACACAGACTTGTGTCTCATGTCTAGCCCCTAGTCTAGTGCTTTGCACGTAAGAACTTAGTAAATATGTGATGAATCAACACATGAGTAAATGAATGAATGGAGTCTCCCCGCTCCCCTGTGTCTGCTCCTCCACACATGGTCAACGATCGCCATCACCAACTCGCAGTTGCCCGCGTCTTACAACCAGACGGGGAGTCTGATGTGCCCTCTCCTCTCCTCCAGTCCAATCCCTCAGCCAAAATGTTTCTGCTTAATACATCATGGATTGTGTCCACCCTTTATCTCTCCTCAGCCAACAACCCAGCCCAAGCCACCATGTTCCCAGGACCCTACAACAGCCTCTTCTCTGGTCTCCCTGGAGTTTTGTCCCCCAGTGCCCTCTCCACAAGTAGCAGGTGATTTTCCTAGAACTCATCATACCACTCTCCTTCTCCAAATAGTTCAATGGGTCCTCAAAATGCTCAGGACAAAGCCTAACTCTTAAATGGGGTCCAGAAGGCTCTACATCATCTGGCCCATGGCCACCTCCCCAACCATTTCCCCCCTCATGATCCATGCCAATTATCCAGTGAGATAGATAGGTACTTCTGACATCCCCCTTTTACAGATGACAAGGTGGAGGTTCAGAGAGGCTAGGCCACTGGCCCAGAGAAGCCCGATCTGGGTCTGTTCAGGTTCCTACCTCCCAGGCTTCACTATCTTTCTTAAGCAGTAAGTACCAACACTGTCACTTCTTTAAAAAAAACAAAAAACAAAAAAACAAAAAACCTGGTTAGTTGAGATACTATTTCCCCGGCTGCAGAATGACTATTCGGGCTGTGAAAGGGGACTTCAAAAGCCCTGATAAAGGCCCAGGAATAAGTAGAGGGCCCCTGAGAGCCCTTGGCTAGGGATGTCCCTCTTTGAAGATGGGTGGAGAGGGGGTTGCATGAAGCCTCTCCTCCCACAGCTGACCCCTGACTCCCTTCTCCCAGGGACATATGCAGCTAAGAGGAGCTCCCATTGAGTCCACTGAGCCCTTGGCTCCGAGAAGCTTTCACATTGGTAACACATAAGGATCTCTCTGGTTGACACAGTGATGGCTTGTCCCAGGCAGCCACCAGGCTTCCAAATATCAGTGAGTTCCTGGTGTCACTTGTTCTACCGAGAACGTCTGGAAGGGCCCAAAGAAGTTTCCAGAGAAGGAGGCCCAACGAGAAGGTGGAGGGAGAGGTGGGCTGGTGAACTGTGGTCTTTCGGGTCCCTTATGGGTTTGGACAGCGCCTGCTCTGGCCATTCAGTGGGGACCACATAGCATAGCCCACTGGACAGCGAAGCATACAGGCTTAGCAATCAGCACACATCTGCCTCTGTGCCTTTAGTTTCAACAGAAAACAGTTAACAATATACTACTATCTCATAGGGTTGTCATAAGGAATGACAGAGGTAAGGTAGGGTCTTTAGTGGAGCTTGGCACGTAAGAGTTCGCCAGCAATGGTGGAGATCATTACTATTTTGTTGTTTGGGGAGCTGTTATCCACAGGCTCACGTGGTGGTGCGGAGCACGGACTCTGGAGCCAGACTGTCTGGATTTGAGTATCAGCTCTGCTACTTTGTAGCTGTGTGAGCTGGTGCAAGTAATTTAACCTCTCTGTGCCTCAATATTGGTGCCTCAATAATGTCGTCTGTGAACAGGGATAATAATACCTATCTTAAAGCAATTTGGATGAGGATTAAATAAATCAGTTTATGCAAAAGACAACTATTACAAAATGTTAAATTAGGGGCGCCTGGGTGGCGCAGTCGGTTAAGCGTCCGACTTCAGCCAGGTCACGATCTCCCGGTCCGTGAGTTTGAGCCCTGCATCAGGCTCTGGGCTGACGGCTCAGAGCCTGGAGCCTGTTTCACATTCTGTGTCTCCCTCTCTCTGCCCCTCCCCCATTCATGCTCTGTCTCTCTCTGTCCCAAAAATAAATAAACGTTGAAAAAAAAAATTTAAAAAAATGTTAAATAAGTATTATTATTATTATTACTTGCAGAGGTGGTCAGAGGAAGCGATCCCTGTGTTCTGTATAGAGCGTGTTCGTGAGACTTGTCATGCATTTCTGCCCAGAGCCACACATACACCGTCATGGGGGGCTTAGTTGGCTTGTGCTCCGTATCTGGCCTCGGGATCAGAATTGGCCCTTCTGTTCCTGACGCCAAGGGGGATTAACTTGCCTCACCTTCTTGAGCCAGACCAGGCTGGTCCCCTGGAATGGATCAGGGCGGGAAGAGAAACGTGCACAGGCCCAGGCTCCTAAGATTGTGAGATAGGATAAGAGACACAGAGAAAAAACCCAGCTTGCTCAGGACTGCACTTAGGCAAACTTCATGACTAACCAGAGATCACACATGGGTAGTGTATATATTGCCCTGGCGGGAATAGTTAGTTGGAAGCCTCACCCAAGGGGAGGACATTCTGCCCAGGACCCTCAGTCGGGACTCCAGAGGGGGCTGTTCACCGAGGGGCTCCCCCAGCCAGAGGTTGGATGTTGCGAGTACCTGATTTGATGTGTTAACCCTTCTCTGTTCTTCTCTATACTCTCCCCCTCTTTATGTTTACTCGAATTATTTAATTCCATATATTCCCTTTCCCGTATAATTAATAAAACTTTCCTCCACAAAACAGAAAGCGTGGCTATCGTGAATTACTGTTATTCAGAACATTCTGGAAAGAATTTTGGACATAATAGTAACAGGAAGCTAGAGCTGAATAAATAAGCATTAGCTGTGTAGGATTATGAGGGCACTGACTTGGGTAGGGAGGGACCACGTGGGTTGTTTATTTATTTAATTTATTAATCATCTTGTTTTTGCCCGGGCATTTGGCCAAGGAAAGAGGACGGGGCTTGAAGTTCAGACACAGCTGGATTTAGAACCCACAAGCTGGTGGCCTTGGACAAGTTCCCTCCCGTGTTGAACCTCAGTGTCCTCATCTGTCAGATGGAGATGATGATGGTATGAACTTCTGGGAGGGGGGCTGTGGTGAGGAATAAATAAATAGCACGCTTGGAAAGCATTCCATTGGGTGCTGGCACCTTCTAGGCACTCTGGAAATTTTAGCCCCATTCTAATGCTGTTACTGCGTACAGGGTCTGCCACATGTGAGCCAGGCAATTGTGACACTGGGTCGCTAACGGGACATCACCTGCTTGGCAAGACCTGCCAAGCTCCGACAATGCACCAGGCACCCTTCCAGGCACCAGGGATGTTGCTGCGAGCAAGACACCCGAGGGTCCTGCCCCCGTGGAGCCGAACGTGCTGGAAATTCCATCGGGGGTCTGAGAAAGGGAATGGAAAAAGACACGAGCATACACCTCTCCTATTTGCTGCAGATGTGCTGGGCTCCTAGGGTGTCCAACGGAGGGAACTCTGACGTGGGTCTTTCTCCATCTGGAGCCCGAATGCGGCAGGCCACCAGGATCTGCGCCCACGCCTGGAACAAGAGCTCCAGACCCCTATAATTGTAGATAAAACACTAAGCAAAAATGACATCCAGAAAGCCAGGCCTTTGAGGGAGCCACAGGGGCCCCCCCTGCAGGCCCTACAGACCCAGCCCCCCGTAGAGTTAGGGCTCTGGGGTGGTGAGGCTGGGTGGGACGGTGGGGGGGGGGGCGGCTGGAAATACCTAGGGGAGCACAGAACGTGGAGTCTTGCTGCCATGGAAAGGCAGCACAGGAAGAGCACAGAATTGTGTCTGCGTCCTGGCACTTCCCGTGTGACTTGAGGCAGCTACTGCTCCTTCCTGGGCCCCTGTTTCCGGACTGCAGGGTGATGTCACCCTCCCCCTGGGCTGTTTGAGAATTAACTGCAGTCCTTCCCATGTGAAAGCTCTAAGAGGAAAGTAGCCAAGAAAACACTTGTTCTGGGACCCGGAGTCGAATATTGCCCCCAACCCCTGCCCCAATACTCACACACGTGTGTGCGCACACACACACACACACTCCACAGGGTCTTTCCTTCCCAGAGAGAGCCAGCCTGGGGGCCCCCTCCCCTACCTGGCTTCTCCTGGTCCTGGCCCCATGTTTTCATCTGGCTGATGACAGCCTGTAGGGCTTACTGACTCCTCTCCAGGAGGCTAGGTCAGCAGGATGAGCAGCTGCCTCCCTCAGCTTCCCAAAACGGAAGGCTGGCCTGACCCAGAAACGTAGTGAGAATCTGGGGGCGGGGGCGGGGGGAGGGAGCACATACAACAGGCATGTGGGAGGATCACTGGACAAGACCAGGGATTCCCAAGTCCCACTGTGTGGCCTTCAGCAAGGGGCTTCACCTCTCTGAGCCATGAGGGTCCACTGAGGTCATGAATAAAGTGTTGGGCACATGGTCTGGTACACAGTCAGTGCTCAGCTAAATGTAAGCCATGACGGTGATTATAAACCGTAGTACAGCAGAGGGGTCAAGAGCCAAACTGCCTAGGTTCGAATCCCAGCTCTGCCACTTAACTGGGTGTGCAGACAAGGGTGAGTCGTGCAATCTCACTGAGACTTGGTTCTCTCAGCAATAAAATGGGGATGATAAAAGTCCTTTCCTTATAGGGCTATAGGGGGATCGCATGTGTTAATATACATAAATTTTAAGTGCTTAGAACAGAACCTGGAGCGTGGAAAGTGCTGGATAAATGCTAATGTTTGCTATTTCTGTTTTCTAGCTGCACACCCTCCCTCCTCTCCTTCTGGCAGCATCCTTGAAATGAGAAGGTGGATGAAGGCTCTGTGGGGTTGTGGGAATGAGGCCTAGAGAGGAAGGAGTAGGAGGGTCTTCTAGAACGCACCCATCAGCAGACTCGCCCATAAATAAACACATAAACACACTAAGCGCTCCACCCGCTCAAATCCACACACAAACGGCTGGGGACCAAGCCACCCACCCAGAAACCTCACCCTGGCCCCGGCCCAGGTCCCAGGCAGCACCGGCTTTCTTCTCTGGGTCACACAGTGATTCTCCCCATTCTGGCTTCAGAGCCAGCCAGCCAGCCTCGCCCCTGCTGTAATTATAGGTGCGCTGAGGCTTCTGTGCCCAGCCATGACGTCAGCCTCAAGCTTCTAGCCTGATGATCTCACCAGAGTCAAGTGGGGACCCAGTCACTCGGGATGGGGGAGCGGGGGCACCTCAGCCTTCCTCTCTCTGCTAGTGGGGGAAGGAGGGTGGGGTCTCTACCAGTCAGCTCAGCACAGACCCTGGCCGCCCCCCCCCCCAAGCCCTGTCACCTGGCAGCTGTGTGCATACCTGCAAAATGGGGGTGGTGATAACATCCCCGATGTTGTGACGGTTCAACGGGTTGGCACGTGCTCGCCACAGAAGCGTAAGAGGGGGCCAAAAATGATGGTAACTGTTGCTCTCCATAGAATTATTTTTAGCAAACGGCCTCATGCAGGCACTGCTGAACATCAAAACGATTTCTCAACCAATGACTCATTGAATTCCTTAGCACCCCCACCCCACCCCACCCCACCCCACCCCAGGAGGAAGGCAGGGCTGAGACCCTGAAGCCCACGGGGGGAGGGAGAGAGGTGGGGGAGAACGGCACGCCCAACTGCCCACCTGTGGTTGGGGACAGATCAAAGTTAGAACCCAAGCTCAAGGGGCTGTTAGGTAGAAGGACGGTTTACAAATTCATTCTCCAAGCTATGTGGGAGGGACAGGGAAGTCTAGAACAGGTCCTCTGTGGGCTCCCTGTGTCAGACCAGACCGCCTGCCCGGGTACAGCACCTTCTGATAATTATCATTATTAACAGTCATGCAGGGCTACCATTGGTTAGCACTTCCTGTGATAGTTTCCTCATCTGTAAAATGGGGACAGTGGCACTCCCCTTACCTCCTGGGATTGGTGGTGCCGTTGAAGCCGGTCTAATATTTGGAAAGCACTTAGAACGGGGCCCAGCATACAGCAAGCATCATATAATGGAGAACTCCAAACTGAATATGCGAAAGTGTCAGTCTGCTGAATGTTTAAGGATGGTTACCTCATGTGTTCCTCATGACACATCCATGCAGTGGCTACTATGGGGTCCATTTTACAGCTGGGAAAACTGACAGCTCACAGGTGGCTGGGGAATAATGTTACTGCTCTCAGAGGACACTGAAGGCAAGTGTCCACGCCGGGTTGTAAGTGGGCATTGCGGCCCAAAGCCACCTGCCTTCAAATGCACTGGGCTCCCAACCCTCTCCCCTCCTTCTGCAGGAGGCAGCAGGCTCTGGGGAAGGTATTACCGAGGGTGACCTGAGCCCTCAGCAGGCAGAGGGTTATTAATAGCCGGCCTTTGCACTGAGAGTGGGGAGGCGGCTCCGGAGCGAGCCCTGGGAGAGGGGGCGGAGCTGAGCCCAGCCAGAAGGGGTGGGGGGGGGCAGGAGGAGAGTGTCCGACTGGCTGGCTGAACTCGGCCCCTCCCCTACCCCTGGGAGCCCAGCTGTTCCCTCAGCGGATTCTCAGGGGCTGGTTCATCACCTCCGAATACTCCTGTGACAGGAGGCGCTCGAAAAACCCGCCTCCAGCCCCAAGCAGCAATAAATAGAAGGCTCTCAGCCCTGAAGAAGCAAGGAGAAGTTTCTAGGCCTGCGTCCCTGGGTTTATTAAGCTCCTGACTCTCCTCTAGACATCTCAGTGGCTCTGGCTGAGAGCCTGGACAGTCTGGGAGGACAGTGACCGGCGGATCTCTGGTGAGGCAGAGCGGAGAGGGGCCCTCTGGTATTCTGCTGGACCAGCCGGTGGTAGCCTTTGGAGTGTCTTTGGGGGCTGGGATCCCAGCCGGGTGCACACCCTCTGTCCTTGGCAGTGGATGGTTCGGCATTTTCTGAAGCAGAAAAATAAGCTTGGAGGGCCAACCCACCCGCATCACCTTGCCGTGTGACCTTGGGCAGGTGGCTCCGTCTCTCTGAGCCTCCGTTTCCCCTCCAGCTCAGCAGCCATGGCTGACGGTCAGATGCCCTTCTCCTGCCACCTCCCAAGCCGCCTGCGCAGAGACCCCTTCCGAGACTCATCCCTCCCCTCGCGCCTGCTGGATGATGACTTTGGCATGGACCCCTTCCCGGACGACTTGACTGCCTCTTGGCACAACTGGGCCCTGCCTCGGTTCTCCCCAGCATGGCCTGGAACCCTGAGGTCAGGCATGGTGCCTCGGGGGCCCACGGCTGCAGCCAGGTTCGGGGTACCTGCTCAGGGCAGGAGCCCCCCACCCTTCCCTGGGGAGCCCTGGAAAGTGTGTGTTAACGTGCACAGCTTTAAGCCAGAGGAGCTGATGGTGAAGACCAAGGACGGATACGTGGAGGTGTCTGGTGAGTGAGGGGCAGGAGTGAGAGAGAACCCGGGAGAAGGGTGTAGGCCTCAGCCCCGGGAACGGCCAAGAGAATGTTTGTTCCCTTAGAGGGTGAGCTGTGACAGCGTGACACAGGTGACTTCAGGGCTCAGGAATGCAGGCCACAGAAGTTATCTTTGTGGAAAGGCTGTGCTCTCCCTGGCTTCCAGGAGACACCTCAACCTGACCCAGTGGCTGGGGCCTTTGAGGGCTGTATCTAGCAGTCAGAGCACAGTCAGGGAAGTAGAAACCACGTCACAGGTTTTGACAGAAAAAAAAAAATTAATAGAAAGGGTAAGTCAAACAGATAGAGAAGAAATACAAAGACAAGGACGAGATGGGGCACAGTGTCACAGCACAGTCTAGAAGAGTGTGTTAAGTGCTGTGCCACGATAGAGCTAATGATCAGCGCAGGTTTCAAGAGGAATGGGGCCCCTTGTTCCAGATAAGGGCGCTGAGGCCTGACAGTCACTATGAGGATACTAATTGGGAGCTTGATTGAGCATTTACTTTCCGCTAGGCACCGCACTCCGCCCTTTACCTGTAGCATCTCAGTGAAGGCAACCAGAGGAGGTGGGGCCTGTCTGTCTCCTCTTTTCACAGATGAGGAAACTGAGGCACAGAAAGCTGAAAGTAACTTGTCCAAGGCCGCCCAGATTCAAACTCAGGCTGTCTTGGGAATTGGGAGGCCAGAAGAGATTTGATGATTTATTGAGCACCTACTAAGTACCAAAAACTGGACTAAGACTCTTAGATTCCTTCTTCCAAGTAATCCTCACTCCGGCCCTGAGAAGCAGGGCTGTCTGCTCCCATTTCACAGCTGAGGAGGCTGAGGCCCAAGCGGAACTTGTCCGAGGTCACGCCATGAGTCAGCAGCAGGAAGAGTCTAGGCCTGCCCAGGACGCCAGGCCTGGGGTCCTTGCCGCCACATCCCAGCCTGGGAGAAAGGAGGAGGAGACAGGAGACTCAGTCCCTGCTGGGCAGGGGAACAGCTTTCTCTCTCTTCCCTCCCAATTAACGCTCCATTAAAAAGAGTGTGTTCCCGGCACAGGCTGGCAGGCCAGAGAATCAATAAAAGCCATTGCGAGGCAGGCTGGGCAGATACAAGCCCTGGCGGGGCAGGCGGCGTGTAGGGGGAGTTTTCAAAGCCTCCCGGGGCAGAATTGTAAACATCAGAGGCTCTGCCGGGGGTGGTGGGCCAGGAGACACGCTGGGGCCATGTGCGGATGGAGGGGTTCAGCCAGGGCGTTCCGAGTTGGCTGGTGGCCAGGCCTGAGTTCTGAAAGTGGCTGTGCCACACTAACCAGCAGGATGCACAGAATGTTTATCTTTCCCGTGCTGTGTTTCCTTATCTGGAAATCGGGGTTCTGGTGCATGAGGATTGTTGTTATTAAATGAGCTGACGGGGGTCAAGTGCGGACAAGGGTTCAGTATTGTTATTGCTGTGATGCTGCTGTTATTAAAATGCTGGGCACAGAGCAAGGCCCCAATACACCATAGATCGTAGATGTTCTTTGAGACCTGGGTTCAAATCCCGACACTGCCCGATGGAAGACTGCTCAGAAAGTCTTCTCACCGTTCTGAGCCTCAGTTGTCTTATCTGCAGAATGGGGATCATGATAATATCTCTCCTGCAGATCTGTAGAGAAGATTAAATGTGAGCTGACAATATATGATAATAAATGCAGAGAGTCTGTAAAATGGAGCTAATAATAGTGTCTGCCTGGCACTCTGTAAACGATTATTATCACCACCTCTCCCGTCTCTGGTTTTCATTCGGATTCCAGAGTCTTCCACCCTTGGTTGGAGGTGTCCCCGTGCCCTCTGGCCCCTCCAGGAGACCCCTGAAGTATATCTCCCCCATTCTCTTCCTTTCTATGTGCTTCTTTAAAAAAATTTTTTTTTTAATGTTTATTTATTTTTGAGAGAGACAGAGTGTGGGAGGGGGAGGGGCAGAGAGAGAGGGAGACACAGAATCGGAAACAGGCTCTAGGCTGTGAGCCGTCAGCACAGAGCCCGATGCAGGGCTCGAACTCACGAACCGTGAGATCATGAGCTGAGCTCAAGTCAGGTGCTTAACTGACTGAGCCACCCAGGTGCCCTTCTAGATGCTTCTTAACAGGTGGGTTCTGGCAGCTCCAGGCTGAGATCTCAGCTAAGCACCTTACTAATGCAGTGGCACTGAATGAGGCTTTGAGTGAATCATGGAGCCTCAGTTTCCATATTTGTAAAATGGGGTGGTTGGGTGCTTCAATAAGACAGACAAAGCCTTTTTAGGTTGTAAAATGCCTCATAGGTATGTACTTAGCACCCTCAGCTTGACAGAATCCAAATCCCCTGAAAGTACATATGGAGACTCTCATAAAATGGATATGAAATCAGATTGATATCAGGGTTCCATTTAAAATCAGCTCCAATCTTTTATCTTATATCTCATAATGACAGACCTATTCTTCAAGCACTCGGTGTAGGCACTGTGCTAAATGCCTACAAATGTTGGCTCCCAGGTTCCTCATGTGGACTTGCAAGGAAATATAGGTAGGTTTGTGACACCCACTTTACAAGGAGGAAATTGAGGCTCAGAGAGAGTAACTCACCTGAGATCCCCTGGTCCTCCATGGCAACGTCTAAAATTCAAAGCCAGGCCTGCTGAGACAGTTCCGAGTCAGGATGGCTGCATTTTCTTCTGATTGTGCAGCCTTGGGCAAATCCTCCCACGTCTTGGGCTTCAGTTTTACTGTTGGCCTTAGGTCTTAGGAGGAGTTGAACTAAATCAGTATTTGCCAAACAGTACATTTTAAGATATCACGAGGCACCTGAGAAATGGAAGGAAGGCGGTACAGATTTTTAAAAGGTGCCAGAGAAAACAAAATTATAAACATGTCTCCTTACTGCAGGACTTATCAGAGCTTTGATTTGCTACATTAATGTAGTTTATGGCTCTCTGGGGACAGCCCTGTCTTATCTGACCATATATGAGTGTATAGTTCCAGGCAAGTGTCTGGAAAATGCTAGACTGGATGCTTTCCATGATGCTTATACACCCCAACTCGCACCCTGCAGCCCGCAGCCAAGAAATGTTCTCTTCATGGGCCACTGGGCCCAGCCCTGGCCAAGAAGAAACTGGAAAACCCAGAGGCCTTATTCCTACCCCCTCTCCTTAATCCCAGGGCCTCTGCCTCCCCTGGAAACAGCACCTTCTTTCTTTAGCTGGGCCAATGGCTTTCCCTGAAGTGCTGATCCCTGCTTCTTGGCACCTACACTTCTCTGAGGCATGTCGAAAAAATAGCAGCTGTGAGGGGCCTCTGGCTTGCCCTGCCTCCAGATGAGTTCTTTTTTTTAAACAGAATCATAATTACTTTTTTCTGTTTACGAAAATAAAATATTTCCACGGTAGAAAACATAGCTAGGAAAGCAAAATAAGAAATTAAAAATCACTCATAATCCTTAAGCTGCCCCAATAAATAGATATTCAAATAATATGCAAATTAAGCTTCAAGATGAGCCTCTGGTAGCAGCATCCACTTTCTTTTTTTTTTTTTTTTTTTTTTTTTAAATTTTTTTTTCAACGTTTATTTATTTTTGGGACAGAGAGAGACAGAGCATGAACGGGCGAGGGGCAGAGAGAGAGGGAGACACAGAATCGGAAACAGGCTCCAGGCTCTGAGCCATCAGCCCAGAGCCCGACGCGGGGCTCGAACTCACGGACCATGAGATCGTGACCTGGTTGAAGTCGGACGCTTAACCGACTGCGCCACCCAGGCGCCCCAGCAGCATCCACTTTCAACCAGGCTCCTCTTTATGGAAATCTTGGAGCTGCCCCTGCTCAGAGATCCTCCCCTCCCCAACCCCAATACCCTATTTTCAGGGCCTGGACAGGGAAGCTTAGCCTTTCAGGAGTAGTCCTGTCTCCAAACATCAAAAGAAGCCACAAGCCTTCGCCTTCACACAATATTTTTACCACTTACAAAGCAGTCCTGTGACTCATTTTCATTTGCTGCTCACAGCAACCCCCAAATTAGGAAGCTATTGTCACCCCCATTTTAGAAAAGAATAAACTGAGGCTCAGAGAAGAGTAGAGATGGGCTAGAAAGTGTTAGAGCAGAGACTGAAATCCAAAACCCAAATACCTTTGCTCCAGCACTCCAAGCTGTGTGACCTTGGGCATATCACTTAACCTCTCTGAACTTCCGTTCCCCATCCACAAAATGGTAATAATGAGAGTCCCTGCTTTCTAAGGTTGTCACGAAAATTAAAGGAGTCGCTATTAGTAAGGGGCTGGGACAGTGGCTCACACCAAGAAAGCGCTGTATAAGAGTTTGTTATTGCTTATTATTCTCAGGACACCAGTGGTGCAAAAGGGCTGAGTCAGAGGCACTGGCCTGTCCCCAGGGGAAGCAGGCCTCTCTGGAGGCCCAGGCTCTGGGGGGGTGGGGGAGGGTGTCAGAGAACAGACAGTGCTCCTGGGCCACAGGCCCGGTTAGGGCTGGACAGTTGGCACTCGCGGATTTGGCGGGCCCAAATCAACTCTCCCAGGGGCAGCGCGTTCAAAGCATAGCATGTTCTGGGTAACCAGACAGTGGACCCCTTTCCACCCAGCCCGTGAGAGAATAAGTTGATGCAACCTTTCCTAAGGGCAATCTGGCAATACAGAGCAAGTCTCAGAAATTCTAGAACTTAGAATTTATCCTACAGATGTCATCAGGCCAGATGTAGAGATCCAGCTGTGAGAATGTGTGGTGCCGTGAGGTTCTCTCTAAGGTCAGATACCGTCTCACTGCCCAAAAAGCCAGGGATTGGCTAAATGAACTTAGGGATCCCTACAGCGGAACGCAGCCGTTAAAGAAATCACGTTGCCGAAGAATGTTTGGCAAGACGTGGAGAAATGATTATAATGTGTTGGCAAGAGATAACAGTTTTGAGCAGAACGCGCAATATGATCCCATTTCCTAAAATCTGCGATATGTATCTATCCTATATAACACTTACGTCCATAGAAAGAAAAGTCTGGAGCGTATACAAAAAATGTGGTCTTGTCGCAGTGATGGGAGGACAGGTAGTTTCATTTATTTTGGCATTTTCTACATTTTCTAGCATACACATGTATTATCTTACAGTCAGAGCAAAGTCAGTAATAAAGAAATTAGGACGGGGCGCCTGGGTGGCGCAGTCGGTTGAGCGTCCGACTTCAGCCAGGTCACGATCTCGCGGTCCATGAGTTCGAGCCCCGCGTCGGGCTCTGGGCTGATGGCTCAGAGCCTGGAGCCTGCTTCCGATTCTGTGTCTCCCTCTCTCTCTCTGCCCCTCCCTGGTGCATGCTCTGTCTCTCTCTGTCTCAAAAATAAATAAAAACGTTAAAAAAAAATTTTTTTTTAAAAAGAAATTAGGAATAATGAAAAAGCAATTGATAACATAATCGCCTATAAATCGTCAGTTTTTTTAAGACTGGGGCTGCCAAAAAAAAAAAAAAAAAAAAAATCCCACGAGGTGATTTACACTCTGGATTCCACAGCTTCTCAGAAGGGTATCCCCATGGAAATGAGGGTTCTTGGCCTGGGAATGTGGCCCCACAGATGAGGAACAAATAAAGATAGGAGCTGAAAGACTCCTCCCTGCCCTAATCCGGTTTGTTTAAAGAGAAGTTAGAGACTCTCCCCATTACAAAAATTAATAAAAAAGGAGTAAGGAGCAGTCAATAGGCTCAGAAGTTGCTATGTAAATTGAAGGTGATAGCCAGTTTGGGCCCAAACCTTCTTATCTTTTCTCTTCCTCAGGTAAGAAAACAGCCCCACCCCTGCTACCCTCTAGAAGGTGGGGCAGGTGGAATTTCAAATCTGTGGCGTCTAAGGTGTCATTTCTTAAAGAAAGCCCTCTTTCGAGAGTCTGGGTGGGTTTTTTCTGTTTTGTTTGTTTGTTTTAGCAGATTGAAACATTATTTCCAGGCAGTTCGTCCAGTTTTAGGTAGAGATAATGTGGCTCAAAGAGCTAATTTCAGGCTGGAACAGGCAGAGGGGCATCAGACCCGCAGCCCTCGGTGTAGACTCCGAGGGAGCTGGTTCAGAGCTCAGGCCTGCCGTACACCTGCTGGGTGACCTTGGATCCATCACTGGGCCTCAGTTTCCACATCAGTAACCAAGGGGGAAAGAAGCCCACCTTCAGAGCTAGGAAAGACTCTGTGCGTCGTAAAGTCAACTGGGTGGCAGACTAGGGCTCAGCATGCGACCCCACTTCTTTTCTACCACCCCTCCTGGGATGTTAGCTTCAGGGTTCGACTGGCTGGTTAGGGGAAAGGGCCCAGAGGCAAGACTTAAAAGATACAACATGTGGTTCAGTTTCCGTGATTTCCTAAATCTAACTTGTAATTGCCTACAAACCACCGTCTAGGCCTCCTGTCTGATCCGTCGTCTTAGTTCATCTTTACGACAGCCTCGGCTCAGGGGGGTCCGTTTAGTAGACGAGGGACCAGAGAGGCTCAGAAAACTGGTGTCTCTAGACTGACCCCAAGTCAAACGGCGAGGCAGGGGCAGGGGCAGGATTCGAACCCAAGTCTGAGTCCTGACCAAAGTCTGCGGGACGTCGATGCTTACGCGTGGCATTCCGCTCTCTTCTAGGCAAACATGAAGAGAAGCAGCAAGAAGGTGGCATCGTTTCCAAGAACTTCACGAAGAAGATCCAGTAAGTGCCCTGGCGGCATGGGTTCCAGGGTGAGGGTGGAGGAGTGGGTGGGGCCTGGGACCCAAGATCTGGAGCGTCTCCGTCTTGGGCATCTCTCTTTCCAGACGAGCCCCAGTGAGGGAATTGAACCCTCACACCTAAAGGGGAGAAAGTGTCACAGCAAACCTGCCGTAGGGTCCCGGAAGAGGTTACGTAGATCATGCCGTCACACCTGGGCTCAGTGCCCCGCGAGGCGGGAGGTTAACAATGTCACTTTACAGATGAAGAGCCCGAGAATTAGAGAAGCAAAATGATTTGTCTGTGATTCCGTGAAAATCGAGGCACTCACCCCGTGGCACGCTTGAGGGAGGATCTCCACCACCATCAAGAAAGACCCTCCCTTGGTGCCCGAGTGCCCAGTGGATTCTTTCGAAGGGTGCCTGCTCTAAGTGTCCCACCGCGGGAGAGTGTGCGCCTTCCCTACGGTATCCACAGGAATGAAGGCGGAACTTGTCCTGACATTGCCGTTTCCTCCTGGGAGGGGTTTGGAGGCTGAGAGGTTGGGACACGTGAAGGGTGGGTTTTGCTGAGGGCTGTGGGAAGGGCTGAGCCGGGGGAATCATGGGAACGGCCAGAAGACCACCAGGCAGGGCCAGTGAATCGAGGCCACACCAGGGCCCTAAGGGCGATGCCTGTAGGGAGGGAGACGACAGCCGGGTGCTGCTGGTAAACACCTCTTCCCTGTACTCAGCAGTTGTCCACTGCGTGCACTCTGGCTCCAAAGCCCTGTCCCAGTCAATGCCTTTAATCTTTGCAGCGGGCAGAAGAGACATTACCCTCCTTGTTTGTCGGGGAAACTAAATTCCCAGAGGTGTAAGGGACTACCTAAGGTCCTTACGGTTAGAATTTAGCCCCAAACCGATCCCTGAACTCGGTTCAGTGCTCGTGCCCCGGAGCAAAGGATGCCCTTTCTTCACCTGTAAAAGGGATGGGGATGAATCTTGATTCCGGAATCCGCCGACTGAAAATGAAAGGAGATCAGAGCACAGCCACCAGCACCCAGCTGGTCCTCATAAGTGGCAGGCTATTATTACTATCATTGGTGTGGTTATGGAGTCTCAACTCCACCCTCGGCCCTGGCCAAAATGTCCTGGTCTGGAGAGATTGCACCAGCTGAATTCTGAGGCTTCCTTCAGCTTTGGGATTCTGCAGTCCTGTCTCTCCTGCCGTGTGCCCATTCCTGACCCGCCCGGCACCTCTGAGTTCTTAGAAGCCCATGGACGCCTCCCAGTAAGGCAAACAGCTAACTGTTTCTCTTTACACTCGCTGGCTCACCTGCCATCCCCAAGACCCACACCTCTTCCTGGCACAGCGGCCAGATC